TATGATAAATTGCAAAATAAAAAGTATCCTGACATATCATACCTCTAAATTTGTATTATTCACAAAACCCTACACAATTTCATTTATTGTAATTAACTTTAAGGAGAGTATTCTTTATCATCTGTTGTTAGTGTCCTTTTTAATCCATGCAATTCGGTTAAACAAATGCCAATAGAAAGCTACATTTGATGATGTAAATAAGTATATAATTAATAATATTATTGGTGGAATAATTTCGTTCAAAGTTTGAGAAAAATTTTGGATACCTCAAGAACCATTATATCGCTTCACAAGATGTACAACACTATCTTTCTTGATATTGTAATATGAAATGTAACGATAATCTTCTAATTGTTTACCAAGATGAATCAATCGAGGTTCAAAACCTGAATAGAAAATTATTATTATTAAAACATACGTCTTTTTTTTTCTTTGCATAACAAAAGAATTCATTCACACCATAAAATGTATGGTCTCGATCTCCCAAAATATTAAGACAAAATATTAAGATCTCATGGTTCATAAGAGGCAATCATGTGTACTGCCTATTATGTAAACTACAGTTTCTAAATTAAATAGTATATACCTTCTATTTCTCGGATCTTTTTCTTGACGTCTCTGACTCTATAGTTTTTATTAACATCGATAGTGATTCTTTTATCTTTTAAAGTTAATATTGAGATTTTAAAAACATCGGAGGAATCCGAATCGGGAGGATTGCCAAGAGAATTGCCGAATTTCAGTGAGCTCGGTCTGCAAAGTCTTCTTGCGAATGGATAGTGAAAATTGAAAGTATCTTCACTTATGGCACCGCCACGAAGCTTAATTTTGACCAATTTAGATGCAACAAAATTTTCGATGAATTTAGTTTCTTTCTTGCAGATCGAACAAACTTTCTTCTTTTTTAGTCTTTGGACACAATCTGAACAAAAAATTCTGTTACAGCATTGTGATACTAGAGGTTTATCCTTTATTTCTCTACACACGATGCATATAAGATATTCACTAAGATCCATCCTGGATTGCTTCTTGAAAGATTTCTGAATAGATAAAAAAAGAAATTTTATTTACCTTTTATATAGCGATGGTGAGATGCAATGATTAAGTTATTTAAGTTAGTGTTAACACATCATTCACTAATTAAACGCAAAAAATTTTTTCCAAGTATTTAAATATTAAATGGCATAGTAAATTTAATTGAGAGTGAATAGAATTAGTTAATTAAAAATTGATAAAGTAATTGTGTAAGAGTTAAACTACATTAATTACGGGATGTAAGTGCTGTTTGCGCGTACGTAAATAATGATGTTGACGAAACTATTTTTGCAATTGACGAAATGACGAAACGTTAATAAGAACATTAACTAAATTGTCATTTTGTAATTTCGTCGGGGTTGCCTACGTAATTATCAATAATGAATTTGTGTAGGGTTTTGTGAATAATACAAATTTAGAGGTATGATATGTCAGGATACTTTTTATTTTGCAATTTATCATA